AACCCGCGACCTTCAGATTGTGAGTCGAGCGCCTTATCCACCTGGCCATGCCGGGCCTTAGTTATATTGTAACTAGCATATTCAATTGTCAGACTAGTGTTATTTTTAAATAAGTTATCGTACATGTACTTTTTTTTAAGAACAGAGGTAATTAATTCCTTTCCTATAACGATAGTAGCATAGTAGTGAACTTTCTAGAACAGCTTGAACTGTGGGTTGGATATTAACATATCTGTAGTCCATCCGGACAACAGCAGTAGGCTCTCGCCCTGTATCATCTAAAATACACCATAACGGAAACAATGTCTAACTCGACGTTCATCTCGAAATTGAAGTGTGTAGGTTGTGACTTCGTGCATGGAAACTGGGATTTTACACAATAATTACACCACACCTATATATAGAAAATACAACCTATTGCTACACAGGAAGACCAAGTTCGTGTCCCTCTATACCGCCACGTTGAAGACAGACAATTTATTGAAATACTTTAGTTGTTACTTGAGAATCTCGTGTGTGTTGATCGGTGGTGTTTGCATATTTTCAGTTACGAACAAAAGAAGAAACCTATACATGATTTTTGAAACGTAATTGTAAGTGGTATGTAATTCGTGTATATGAAAGTGAATTAATTTACAAATAATAATTTTTAGTGTTAAAATAATTTAGGAAGTATGGTTAATTACTGTTGATACCAGTAATTTATTTTTATATCTATACAATAAGATTATTAAGAATATGATCCCATTAAGCGTTAGTGTTAGTTCGGTTTCACTTTTAAGTTGCTTGTGATATTCACTATGTATCTACATTTCTATGTGTGTCTCTATTAGCAGTACCCATCGGTGGAAACCTAGTTTCTCATTGTTAATCTATTAGCATGTTTACAAATACGTGTCTGTTCATTGTTTATTAGGATTTATATACTGACTGATCTCAGTAAAATGTGAAAAAGAGGTATTTTATCCATCGGTGATGTTTGTATATCATAAAACTCTGGCCTTGTTTGGCAGGACTTGCTGGAGGCAACAGCTGCCAGAGAAAACCAACTTCAAGACTTGGAAACGTTGATTCAACACGTCAGAGCAGGTGGCGACTTAGAAACTAGCCCCAAGGGATCGGAACGGTAGGATATTTATCTAACGTCATGGCTGTACTGTCTGTATCAGTGAAGGTTAAAAGATATCAGGCTGACTGTCCGTATCTATATCGTTTTCTGTGCATAATAAATTATTCCTGCACCAGACTCTCGACTAAAAAAAAAAGAGAGAAAATAATAATAATGGTAGTTTTAGTTAGTGTTTTTCTTTTCCCCATTCTTTATCCGTACCCCCATACCATACAAGCACCCCTGTGCGCTGTCTGGCCGATGACCTAAGTCTTGAGAAGAAACACATATCACAGTAAAAATTAGTCGTTGACCTGGGGAGTGTAGTGAGAGGAATAACGTGTGTGTGTATATATATATATATATATATATATATA